TTGATGCCATCGGTGATGTTGTACCACTAGATGTCATCGGTGATGTTGTACCACTGGATGTCATCGGTGATGTTGTACCACTAGATGACATCGGTGATGTTGAGTCAGTTGATGTCATCGGTGATGTTGAGCCACTAGATATCAGCGGTGATATTGTACCACTAGATGTCATCGATGATGTTATACCACTTGATATCATCGGTGATGTTGAGTCACTAGATGTCACCGGTGATGTTGTACCACTAGATGTCATCGTTGATGTTATACCACTTGATATCATCGGTGATGTTGAGTCACTAGATGTCACCGGTGATGTTGTACCACTAGATGTCATCGTTGATGTTATACCACTTGATATCATCGGTGATGTTGAGTCACTAGATGTCATCGGTGATGTTGTACCACTAGATGTCATCGGTGATGTTGAGTCAGTTGATGTCATCGGTGATGTTGTACCACTGGATGTCATCGGTGATGTTGAGTCAGTTGATGTCATCTGAGATGATAATATTTGTAATAGTGTAGTGCTACTAGATGACAGTGTTGGTTGTGTTGAGTCACTCGTTGTTAAGGATTGTGTGGATCCACTAGAGAAGAATAGTGTTGAGTCACTAGACGCCAGTTGTGTACTACCACTAAACATCACCTGTGATGCTGCCTCACTGGTTGGTGCCAGAGATGATAACGGAGCCTGTGATGAACCAATTGTTAACGTGTCAGGCGTAGTAGACACAAGCGAGGCATTTACTTGAATGGAGGAATCGTTTGATACTGAGTCATGCAGGCTATCCGTTTGGTTCGTAAACATGTAGGCGGTGCTTGTCCCTTGTACGTTTGAGACAGAAGATGTTTGCTGTGGTGTTGTATCACTAGATGGCATTTGGGGTTGTGTTGTGTCGCTAGGTGACATCGGTGGAGGTGTTGAGTTACTAGAGGATATTCCTGAGGTGGAGTCGCTGGATGTTATTTGTGGGCCACTTGACGAGGATGTTGTTGAGACACTAGATAATATTTGTAGTAAAGTTGTGCTATTAAATGACATTGTCGGTGTTGAGCCACTCGATGTCATCGTTGGTGTCGAGCCATTAGACATTAGTGTCGACTTACTAGACGACATTGGTGACACTGTCGAGTCTGTCAAAAACATTGGTGACGTAGGGTTACTAGATGACATCGGTTGTTGTGTGGAATCAGTGGATGACAGTGGTTGGTATGTGGAGTCACTGGATGACATTGGTTGGTATGTGGAGTCACTAGATGACATTGGTTGAGGTGTTGAGTCACTGGATGACATTGGTTGAGGTGTTGAGTAACTAGATGACATTTGTTCAGGTGTGGAGTCAGTAGATGACATTTGTTGGGGTGTGGAGTCACTAGATGATATCGGTTGGTATGTGGAGTCACTGGATGACATCGGTTGAGGTGTTGAGACACTAGATGACATTGGCTGGGATGTGGAGTCACTAGATGACATTGGCTGGTATGTGGAGTCACTAGATGACACCTGGAGTGGTGTGGAGTCACTAGATGACATCTGAAGTGGTGTGGAGTCACTAGATGACATTGGTTGGTATGTGGAGTCACTAGGGGGTAGAGTCGAATCACTAGATGACATCGGCTGTGGTGTGGAGTCACTGGTTGACATCGGTTGAGGAGTTGAGTCAGTAGATGACATTTGTAGTGGTGTGGAGTCACTAGATGACATTGGCTGGGATGTGGAGTCACTAGATGACATCTGAAGTGGTGTGGAGTCACTAGATGACATCGGTTGGTATGTGGAGTCACTGGATGACATCGGTTGGTATGTGGAGTCACTGGATGACATCGGTTGAGGTGTTGAGTCACTGGATGACATTTGTAGTGGTGTAGAGTCACTAGATGACATTTGTAGTGGTGTTGAGTCAGTAGATGACATCGAATGGGATGTGGAATCAGTAGGTGACACTGGTTGGTATGTGGAGTCATTGGATGACAATGGCTGGTATGTGGAGTCACTAGATGACATTGGTAGGGATGTGGAGTCACTGGATGACATTTGTAGTGGTGTAGGATCACTAGATGACATCGGTTGGTATGTGGAGTCACTGGATGACATCGGTTGAGGTGTTGAGTCACTGGATGACATTTGTAGTTGTGTAGAGTCACTAGATGACATTTGTAGTGGTGTTGAGTCAGTAGATGACATCGAATGGGATGTGGAATCAGTAGGTGACACTGGTTGGTATGTGGAGTCATTGGATGACAATGGCTGGTATGTGGAGTCACTAGATGACATTGGTAGGGATGTGGAGTCACTGGATGACATTTGTAGTGGTGTAGGATCACTAGATGACATCGGTTGGTATGTGGAGTCACTGGATGACATCGGTTGAGGTGTTGAGTCACTGGATGACATTTGTAGTTGTGTAGAGTCACTAGATGACATTTGTAGTGGTGTGGAGTCAGTAGATGACATCGAATGGGATGTGGAATCAGTAGGTGACACTGGTTGGTATGTGGAGTCATTGGATGACAATGGCTGGTATGTGGAGTCACTAGATGACATTGGTAGGGATGTGGAGTCACTGGATGACATTTGTAGTGGTGTAGGATCACTAGATGACATCGGTTGGTATGTGGAGTCACTGGATGTCATCGGTTGAGGTGTTGAGTCACTGGATGACATTGGTTGAGGTGTTGAGTAACTAGATGACATTTGTTGAGGGGTTGAGTCAGTAGATGACATTTGTTGGGGTGTGGAGTCACTGGAGGACATTTGTAGTGGTGTGGAGTCACTAGATGACATTGGTGGTAGAGTCGAATTACTAAATAACATTGGCTGTGCTGTGGAGTCACTGGATGACATTGGTTGGGGTGTGGAGTCACTAGATGACATCTGAAGTGGTGTGGAGTCACTGGGTGACATTGGTTGTGGTGTGGAGTCGCTAGATAACATTGGCTGATATGTGGAGTCACTAGATGACATCTGAAGTGGTGTGGAGACACTAGATGACATTGGCTGGGATGTGGAGTCACTGGATGACATTTGTAGTGGTGTGAAGTCACTAGATGACATTTGTGGTAGAGTCGAATCACTAGATGACATCTGCTGTGCTGTGGAGTCACTGGATGACATTGGTTGGGGTGTGGAGTCACTAGATGACATCTGAAGTGGTGTGGAGTCACTGGATGACATTGGTTGCGGTGTGGAGTCACTAGATGACATTGGCTGGGATGTGGAGTCACTAGATGACACCTGGAGTGGTGTGGAGTCACTGGATGACATTGGTTGGTATGTGGAGTCACTGGATGACATCGGTTGAGGTGTTGAGTCACTGGATGATATTTGTTGAGGTGTGGAGTCACTTGAAAACATCGATTGGTATGTGGAGTCACTAGATGACATTGATTGGTGTGTGGAGTCAGTAGATGACATTTGTAGTAGTGTGGAGTCACTAGATGACATTTGTAGTGGTGTAGAGTCACTAGATGACATTTGTAGTGGTGTAGAGTCACTAGATGACATTGGTTGGTATGTGGAGTCACTGGATGACATCGGTTGAAGTGTTGAGTCACTGGATAACATTGGTTGAGGTGTTGGGTAACTAGATGACGTTTGTGGAGGTGTTGAGTCAGTAGATGACATTTGTTGGGGTGTGGAGTCACTAGATGACATTGGCTGGTATGTGGAGTCACTAGATGACATTGACAGGTATGTGGAGTCACTAGAAGACATAGGTGGGAGAGTCGAATCACTAGATGACATTGGCTGGTATGTGGAGTCACTGGATGACATCGGCTGCGCTGTGGAGTCACTGGATGACATTGGTTGGGGTGTGGAGTCACTAGATGACATCTGAAGTGGTGTGGAGTCACTGGGTGACATTGGTTGTGGTGTGGAGTC